TGAATAGTTGGGTGACGCTCCACTGTCCGAATGTGCCGCTGGGTGTCACATCAGGCCCTTGTCGATGGATACTTAGTTTTTCCTCCCACTTTTGTTATTTCATGTGTTTCTGTGCACCTGGGCAGGTAGATACATTTACCCGTGAGCAGAAAAATGTGTGAGGAAGGATAGTTGCGACAGTATTGATTTTTTATCACGTTATCGATAAACCCAGGGACGTGGAGTTGCCGGGATGTGTGCGTTTGAACCTGGGCTCGAGGTCCTCTGCATGGGAGTCCGAAGAGGCTCTGCTGGAGCCGTGTGCGCGAGGCCCGTTTCCCGCACCCTATCCGCACAGACGTGGGCCAGCCTCCCAGGAGGCACAGGGCACCGCTGCGGACTTTGAATTTGCACTGTTCTTAGTTTGAGTGTAGCTGGGTGTCATCTTCCTCTAAGGAAATCAGCCCTTTGTGATAGGTGTGGCAAATATACTTCTTGTTTTGTTTTTATTTTGAACGTGTGAGGGTTTTTATGCACAAAGTTTTCATTTTTATAGAGTATGTGGTTTTTACATTCATGGCTCCTTGATGTCGTAGTAGGACTAGAAAGGCCTCCTGCGTCCCGAGATCGTGAGACATTTCCCAATGCTTCTTCCATTGCTTTTATATTTAAGTCCAGAGGCACAGGTGACTTTATTCTCCCCAAACTAATTATTGAATTATTATTATCCCCACAAATATACAGTGCCGCCTTTATCACATACAAAATCCCTGTAAATATTGGTTTAGGTTTATTTCTGGGCTCTTTGTTCTGATCCCTTACTGTTTGTTCGTTCCTTTGCCAGATTCATAATATTTTAATTCCTTTATCTCTATAATGTATTTTCATATATGGCTTTTCTGAGTATTCACGCCTCCTCCTGTCTGAGTCCGTCCAGGCTGCTGTGACAGAGACACCACACGCTGGGCGGCTTATGAACAACAGACATTTCTTTCTCCCCGCTCTGGAGGCCGTGTCCGAGACGAAGGCCCTCTTGTGATGTCCACGCGCTGCAGCAGAGGCGAGGGCGCGCTCTGGGGTCTCAGTCATGAGGGCACTGATCCCATCCAGAGGGCCCCACCCATGACTGGCTCACCCCAAAGCCCCTCCTAGCACCCCACACGGGGTTAGGATTTAAGCAGGAGTTTTGGGGTGACACAAGCATTCAGCCTATAGCATTCCTGCAGTGGTTTCCTCCTCGTCCAGCACCAACCCAGACACAGAGCTGGGCTCTTTCCTGGATTCCCCCCGTGACAGGCTGCATGCCGGTCATCATGAACTTGGCTTAAAACAACACACACTGATGATCTCGCATGTCTGCGGATCGGAAGTCTGGGTCCTCTGGCGGCTACACTCGAGGCAGCACTGGGTTCTCCCGCGAGGCTCCACGGGGTGTCTGCTTCTGTGCATGCTACTGGGCCGCCGCTGCCGGGGGCCACACCCCAAGGCCACACCAGGGAGCGTGCATGATCAAGAGTTCGCTGACATACGGTGGCGATACTGGTGTGAAATTTTACATCTCAGACCTACCTGGTGAGCAATATGAAAGCCGAAAATGAGCACTGTTCTTATAACGTCTCCTGCTGCCTCCTCCCCAGGGAATTTCTCGCCGATAGCAGTTTCTTCGGAGGCGTGGAGCTTGCGGGGTGGTTTCCGCCTCTCCCTTGCCTTCTCTTCCTCCGTAGCTCTCCTCTCTCTTCCCCTGTGGCCCCGTCTCCTGCATCCCTCCAGGGCCCTTGCCTGTGTGTACTGGGGACGGGACTTAGGTCTCTCCCTGAGGAACGGCTGTGGCCCTGAGAATAATAACCCCTGGTGTTCACGGTCACTGGACCCCTGCTGCGTGCTCCTCCCCGTACCTCCAGCCTCAGGTAAAAGCTGCACTTGAGTAGCATCCGCCTGTTTGAGATGGGAGGGTCTCTTCCAGGAAGGTTCTGGCACCCAGGTGTCATTCCAGAGCGAGCCCTTGGTAAACAGCAGTCAGCCACCTCCTCCACCCTCTGAACCCTCAGGGCTTCTGCACGCTGCCCAAGGCACCGTGCGCACGGAGTGGTCCCCCTGCCAGGCCCATCTCAGACCACGATACTCTGCCACCTCTCCAGAGACCCGGGTCGGACGAGTAGTCTTCCTTTCTGCATCGCAGACAATGTTTGTGTTTAGTCTCTGTGCCATGCAGACTGAATAAAGAATACAACGAACAGTGCCCATGCCCATGCGCTGCTCTCAGCATCAAGCCAACAGACTCACGTAGTTCTTGTGTGGCACTTGCCGCGAGAGCTACAAAGTCCAGGGAGCCCCACCCCGTCTGGAGGTGCGGTGCCCCAGGGAAGTCTTCCTGCAGAAAGAACACTCAAGTTGAATCTTGGTGGGTAAACTGGAGCGGGCAGAGGCAGGAGTCTGGGGGTGGGTAGTGGTTGGGAAAGAATGTGGCTTTGAAGTTGGGTCTTTGCAAGGCTTGGTTGCCCAGGTTCTAGGGGTGAAATAAAGCCCCCCGGAGCTGGGGAATGTGAATACCTTCTGCTGGGGAACACAGGAGGGCTGAGCACATAGGGTGGTCCTTCCCTGCGGGCGGAGGGAACATTCTCAGACAAACACAATTTACTGGGTAACCTGATACCAGTGGTATGTTTTCGGTGGAAGGATGTGGCTGGTTGGACACCCTACAAAAGCCAGGGTTTGTCACTATCCAGTGGGGAGGCGACCTGTGAATGCCAGTATGGTGGTGCCCGTGCTTTTACAACCAGCTCTGTGAGGGACATTCCTACCATCCTCACGTAAGGGCGCTGGCTACTGATTGTCCAGTTGGCTTCCCTGCTGACGACCTCCCCCCCCACATTGAGGGCAAGGGCTGGGGAGGCAGAAAGGAGTTCCCAGATTGTCTACCCGAGTGTGACCTGTTCCTTTCCCTTCACACAGGCAGGAGGAAGTCGGGCAGTGTTAGCACTGCTGCGGGGGCATGCCGGCGGAGGCCGGCCACGCTGTGCTCAGCCTGCTTTTGTGGACAGGTGAGTATGGGACAGGGGAGTGTTGGAGAGGTGAGCAGATACCTTCCCCTTCAAGGCCTGAGCTCCCTATCCCCTCTCCTGGTGCTTAGACCACTCTATGGAAAGGGCGGGGACCCCCAACTGATTGAGATGAAGTTTCTGCCCCTCCCTGCCGGAAGGGGGGCAGAGCATGATGTTGGGCAACAGGGACAGAAGGGCAGTCCTCCTTTCTGCAGGTCTGGGCTTATAGATTAGGAAGTCACCCCAGGGACTCCGCAGGCCTCAGGGACCTCATGGACGCTGGAGGAGGGTGGGAAGAATTCAGCATGACCCACTGATTTCCCACTGGGGCATTGGGATGAAGCTGGTGCCCTTAACTAAGAAAAGGAAATCAGCTCACCTCTCCCTGGGGTGGCCTGGGGCCCTCTGGCCACCTCTTCTGGCCCTGAGCTGGAGAGTGGGGGCCTGCAGACATGTAGATGAACCTGCCTGGGGTGAGCAATGGGGGGTCCTGGACATCACCCTGAGATGCACCCTCACATCGTCTTCAGTGGCGGTGGGGGGGGTTGGGGGGATTGAGGTGTGAGGAGTGGGTGGTGGAGGGCAATGGTGGTTGTCCTGGCTGCCTGTGCATGAAA